TGCACTCGGATCGTCCATATGGTTTGATTTTGTTGCGTTTGGTCAAAATTGCACATTTGGTCCCTAACTTTATGTATGCAAGGGACGAAAAACGCAATAAAATCAAACCATAGGGACGATCCGAGTGCAAAAGAAAAGTTAGGGACCAAACGTGCAATTTTGACCAAACCATAGGGACGATTTCAATAATTTACTATTTTTAAACTTATCCGCCTAAATAAACATATACCACTTCATCACCAATTCACATGAGGCTCAAAGTTAAGCTATTAAAAATATAGAAGCCATAACCATAAGGAGCAATGTCAGCCAATTTCATAACAAGAAGAAAAACAGTTACTAACATACATATTGGTATACTACTATATGACATGTGAATCATTACCATGGTTCCGTAGGATACAGGTCCACCGAATTTACTCTTTCTGATCTTTGAGCAAGCTCCCTCTTCATAAAAAATAAGTACTTATCATTATCGAACAAATGTTTTGCAATAATATCAACATGAAATTGAAGTAACTAAAAGTACCTTGATATCGAGCCTTATAGGCTGTCGCAGAACGAAAAACAAACACCAACAATTGAAGTTCCAACATTAGTAATTCAAAACCGGATCTACACTGGAAAATAATCATATATATATATATATATATATATATATATATATATATATATATATATATATATATATATATATATATATATATATATATATATATGAGGGGATCTTTAGCCTACAAGGCTATCGGTTTAAGATGTGTAATCTATCTGGTAAACGCAAATGTCTTGCTTTAAAATTGTTAACATCAGTTTCAATTTTACAAAAGATCAACAAGAAATTATGAGAAATGTGATCGATTTTTGCATACCTGAATGGTTCGATTCCGACATATTCACTGCTGAGTTTCAGTCCGGTGGCCCATCCGGCTACTCCGACAACATAGGCGGAAGCTTGGCAGGTGATGTGGATCAGGTATTTGCACAAAGGAGGTAGTGGTGGACGCTCGCTACTATATGCTCGGCCGATTAGGGTTTTTTGATGCACACCCAAATCCATACACGAATTCGATCCGGTTTGAGCAATGAAGAACTTGTTGAGGTGATTGAAATGGCTTGAAATGTCTTCTGGTTGATGGGTTATAGATGATTATGTCACGTGTGCCATCGATTAAACATACTAATCCATTGCAAGAACCCAGAATCTTGATTGAAGTTTTAGGGTCCGTCTCAGGTGGCTTTGATTTGGTGAGTAGTGTTGTGTGTAGGAAGGAGACGGAAAGAATAGGGTTTCGATTTTGTGATGGCGGCTATTGTGTGTAGAGAGAAGATTAGGATACCATTTAATACCTAATACCGTGTATAAGCTATACAATGTGATTATAAGCTTAATATTATTGTACATGATGTAATAAGTATTATGCCTCTTAATTTTCAAGAAATGGGCAATATCCTTAATAATATAGTGTGTTTGTATATATATATATATATATATATATATATATATATATATATATATATATATATTGCCCTGATGTTGATGTCGCGTTATGTTTCTGCTTTGATTTTTAACATCTCTCGTTTCTCATATTCAATCAACGCCATGCATGTATGTAGGGGTGTCAATTTATGACACGACACGATAAAAATACACGACACGAAATGAAATCTGGACGAAATCAAATTTTGAATCTGTGTTGGTGTCGTTTTCGTGTCAAGTTTAAAAAACACGATTCCGTATCGTGTCATGTTCGTTTTCATAAATCGACACGAAATTGGCACAATTGAACATGTGTTTGTCGTGTTATATATGATTAAGTATTAAATAAATAAACTAATAGTTAGGTAATGTTATCTTTGTCATGTTGTGTCGTGTTGTCGTGTTTTAATTGGTTTGTTTTCGTGTTAGTGAAAACAAACACGAAGTCGTGTCGTGTCGTGTTCGTGTTACACAAAATCTTGTCGTGTCGTGTCGTGTCAAACAAAAACATGACACGACTGCCCGATTTGACAGCCCTACATGTAATGGTTTGGACTTTAGACATATGGGTGTGTGGGGCCGTGGTGGCTTGGAATATGAATGGTCGGGGGCTTATGTACAATGTAGAGTTGATCGATATTGGTCAAGAATGGTGGCTGCAATTGTAGGGTTAATATCTTTTGTAGGGTTTCTTCGGTAGGCTCCCTTGATAGGCACGTAAAACAACAAATTATTAAAACAGCGTAATTACACAATTTCACTCGAATCTTTAGCATGGTACAACTTTAGTCCTCAACATTGCATTGTTTTTAGGATTTTATTTCTTTTAACAAACTGATCCGAACTTCCACGTCGCTTATAAACTAGAAAACGATCGAATTTGCAAAAACTCAACACGAAACTAGTAGATAACTCTGGTTAATTTCAAAAATATCTTGAATCGTCTAAATCGAAGTCCGGAGTAGTCAGATATGATGAAAACACCGAGACATATTCAATCTGTAAACATAGCCAGATTTGATGGTCCCAAAACAACTTGATTAATAAGTATATATATAATATAAATACCTTACTATTAAATATATTATACAAAAGTAGAAAAAAATCAATAGATCTTATTGATAAAAAGTAACAACGTCATTTGGATATGAAAGATGCATGCACAAAGAAGCTAATTTGGAATTCATGCATTTATGAGAACACATAAGAAAATTAATTGCAAAAGGCAAGAAGTTCATGGTCACTTTGAACAACGGCCAAATCTTGCTTTCCCAAACACACAAGTACTTCAATGCCATCCCTGTTTGGCGCATCCATCATAATAAAGCTATTCTTCCTTAGATCTCCGGCCACGGTTGCTTTTATAGGCTTTCCCCACCCAAAATCAATCTCATATCTAGAATAACCACACATGCTTGTAAAGATATACGCACCATCAAATTTTCTTTGTGTTTCTTCTAAAGGAATTCCGAAAGATAACCAAAAGTGGTATGGATATCTGGTAGGCCATCAAATTTCAGCTTTTGCTTCTTGAACTCACTGATGAATGACTCCGGCTTATTGTGGATGAAATTTATCTTTAGGTTCAGCTATTTATCATTAAGATATAATGCTTTTGTCTGCATTTTCATTACTAATCTCTATTTGTCTGTTGCTTCCACTTTCTTTCTAAAAAACAGTAAGAAAATACTGATGTAAGTAACTAGAAACCTTGTTTTCCTTTGATATGTTCTTCTTATACTACTTGTTTTCAATGATTTTGTTAGTTAGTGTCATAGTTATGTGAATCATGTGCCTGTTTGATTGATGTATATGTGTTTGAATCTTAAACGTAATTTAGTACAAGTTTATTTTCGAAATTTTAATTTGTTATGTGATTATTATCATGTGTAATCGTGACTTGTTAGTCAATGAGCTCTCTGAGACAAACAGGTTGAGGGACTTCAAATCTTGAAATCAATCAACTTGAGGTAAACTTGAAAATTAAGTCAAACTTATAATAATAATAATGTAACTTGATGTGAATGAGTCCCACATGCATACTTGATCTAAGGAATTATTTCTGGTTAAAGATTATGAGCAACTGCTTTTATTATTAACTCCAAACATATACTAAAGTTAAAAAAAACTGCATAAGTCATGGTGTAGAAGATTCTGTATGGTGGTAGCAAATGACTCATGCTTATGTTGTGCTTGTAGGTTGATCTTGAAATATTATCTTTAGAGTTTTCAGAAAAGTCTTACTCAATGGTCATGCTGAGAAGTTTATTGTTCATCTCTTCAGAACATGTAGGATGATTGATATATACATGGAAATTTAAAGAGTTAGTAAAGAAAATGTATTGAATAAAATGAGTAAATATCGTTTAAACGGTGAAAAGAATAAATGATAATATAAACTAAAACTAGAAATAAATATAATAACCAATATTAAATTTAAATGAAGGTGATATAAAAATGATAAGTGAAGGTATTGTTCATACTTGAAATAGTCGGTCAATAAACGAGTGAGGAAGACTGAAATAATATCATAATTATTCTATATTTCTATTTAGTGAAATCAAGTCGTTGACCGACTGTTATATGGTTTAGACCTTAGACATATGGGTGTGTGGGACTGTGGTGGTTGGAAAATGAATGGTCGGGGGCTTGTGTTGGTCAAGGATGGTGGCTGCAATTGTAGGGTTAATATCTTTTGTCCTTGATGCTCACGTAAAATAACAAATTATATTAGAGCCTAATTACACAATTTCAGCTCGAATCTTCAGCATGGTACAACTTTAGTCCTCAACATTGCATTGCTTTTGGGATTTTATTTCTTTTAACAAACTTAAAGCACAAAACTTGTAGATAATTTTGGTTAATTTCAAGAATATCTTGAATCGCATAAATCGAAGTCCTGAATAATCAGATATGATGAAAACACGGAGACATAGTAATCCGTAAACATATTTCTTGCATTTTTATTTGATGGTTTTGAATTTATCTTTTTTTTGAATATGTCAATTCCATGTCGGAACCATTTAGACATAATAATAATAATAATAATAATAATAATAATATTATTATTATTATTATTATTATTATTATTATGAGTCCAAATCCTAATAAAACTCATACAAAAGACGGTAAAGACCTAAGAAGCTTCGGAAATCTTATATATACATGATAAAATTTATTAATTTCTTTGAGATTTTTGAACTGAAATCCAACACCCACCAAAACCCATAGACTAGGTGGTGGGAAACTCAGGGGATAAAAGTTCCATCTTAAACAAAAATTGTTTTCAGGGCAAAAATATCTTCTTCCATGACAAAATAAAAGTGTCTCCATCCCAAAACAACATGATTAATAAGTATATATCATATACCTTACTATTAAATATATTTTACAAAAACAGAACAAATCAGAAGATCTTATTAATAAAAAGTAACAACGTCATTTGGATATGAAACGTACATGCACAAATTAAGAAGCTAATTTGATTTGAAATTCATGCATTTATGAAAACACATAAGTAAAACTAATCGCAAAAGGCAAGTTCATGGTCACTTTGAACAACGGCCAAATCTTGCTTTCCCAAACACACAAGTACTTCAATGGCATCCCTGTTTGGGGCATCCATCATTATAAAGCTATTCTTCCTTAGATCTCCGGCCACGGTTGCTTTTACAGGCTTTCCCCACCCAAAATCAATCTCATATGTAGAATACCCACACATGCTTGTAAAGATATACGCACCATCGAATTTTCTTTGTGTTTCTTCTAAAGGAATTCCGAAAAGATAACCAAAAGTGGTATGGATATCTGGTAGGCCATCAAATTTCAGCTTTTGCTTCTTGAACTCACTGATGAATGACTCCGGCTTCATTTCACTTACAATATCAATGGCTAAGTGGAAATTTCCGATGCTCTTTTCAGGCAACTGTTCCATCAATCTGCCTCTTATGTTTGTTTGATGACTAACACCCATGGGTTTGAAATCAGAGCCTGAATAGTTTTTCGTAGCTGCTGCCACTGCAGACTTATAAAGCAGCCATGTCAAAACTTCAACACGAGTAGGGTTCGTGATGGGTTGTCCAGATTCTTCACTCATGGCTTTGACTTTGAGTTTAAAATCGTTTATCTTGGCGTTAGGGAACATGAAACTCTTTGTAACACATTCATCGGATCCAAGAGAAATCCCATTAAAATTTAGATTCGTGTATTCAAAATGAATAAACTTGGGGTCGTCGTCGTTGGGAAGAAGTTCATGCTTCTGCTCTCTGGAACAAAATTGTGTCGTTTTAGCCCAGTCTTTTAGAAAATGAATTAAACTGCTTCCATCGGCTATCTTGTGGGACAACGACATAGCCACTGCTAATCCTCCGCATTCAAAATGGTTGACCTGAACAGCCAGCGGGATCACTCCGTTGCTTTGAAGATGATCATCATCTGGACGATTGGATCTTTGATTTACGAGACCATGTGGAAAGAATTGGTCGAGATCTTGATGCTGCGAGGTTTTAAGGAAATCAGAGAGCGAGCTATCAATGGAAGCTTCAAGAAACTCAGCTCCTTGGTCGTTGCAATCTACAAAGGATGGTGCCACCTTGGCTAACCTACCAGCAAAAGGGTAGTACTTGGTTAAAGTTTCAGATAAGGACTTCTTCAAGGGAGTTATTTTGTCATGGGAAGTTGGATAAATCCCAGTGTTTGGGTAGAATATAACAAATGGTTGGAACGTGTTGACGAGGGCTTGATCGAGTAAGGAAAGATTGTATGTTTTGAGATGAGAAGGGGTCGGGGAAGAGGGTTTGATGATTTCTTTAGAGATGATTGTGTGAAGCTGCCTTCTACCAAATTTTATCAGGTTGCCAATCATAGTCATCTTCACACAAGAGAAAGGGCTTTGATGATCCGAATTTGCATCTTAGTGTTCCGGTTTTATATGCCAATAATTGGTTTATTTACATCAATAAAATAGTACACCCAACAGCCACAGTCGCTTCCCGGCATCTGGATTTAGTGATCACATTTATTATACAAACTATTAGACTTCGTCTGTTAATTTGACTCTCGTTTTTTTCTATTTATTTAATTATTTAATTATTGTTTTCTTATATGTATTTTATTTCTTTTGACTTTTATTTGTTACGTGGGTATTATAATATAATTAAAATATATATATATATATATATATATATATATATATATATATATATATATATATATATATATATATTATTAAAAGTAACTATATGTTTACTATTATTAACTTTGGATTTAAAATTTGGGTTTAAGTCATTTTTTGTCGCTTAATTTTTGGTTTTGTGCTTATTAGCCACTTAACTCTTTTTAAGTTTTAAAAGGTCATCAAACTTTTGGCTTTGTGCTCATTTAATCATTTAACTTTTTGTTTTGTCACATTTGGTCACTTAACTTTTAAAATTGTACTTATTTAATCACTAAACTTTTAATTTTTTTTTTAATTTTAGTGACTAAATAAGCATAGTTTTAAAAGTAAGGTGACTAAATGAGCACAAATCTAAAAGTTAAGTGACTAAATGTGACCAAACAAAAAGTTAAGTGACTAAATGAGCACAAAGTCGAAAGTTTGATGACCTATTAAAACTTAAAAATTGTTAAGTGACCAAATGAGCACAAAACCAAAAGTTAAGTGACCAAAAATGACCTAAACCCTTAAAATTTTAAGCTAATTTGTTGTAAACATTCTAATAATATTAAATATGTGATAAAATAGGTATAGATTTAATACATATCCTTCCCAATATTAAGTATTCTCTTTCTCTCTCTCTCTCTCTCTCTCTCTCTCTCTCTATATATATATATATATATATATATATATATATATATATATATATATATATATATTGTTGGGTTTTGAGCAATCTAACACTTCCTAAGTGTGCATGCAACTCTAATAAACCTTGGATCTATGTTTGTCTAAATACATGCAAAATAATAATTTTTCCAAGGTTCATAACCTATCTAACATGACATGGGGTACTTTTAAACATAAAAGAATTAGATGAGATTACATACCTTTTTGATGAGTTTGATTCTTAAGGAGTTTGAGGGCCAAGCACCAATAGTGTGAATGCCTCAAATGGAATCACAAATCACCACAAACGTTTGGAAAACTTTGAGAGAGTAGTATACTTTCTTGTGGAATCGGCCACCACTAAGTCTCACACAATTAGAGTCTACACTCAGAGCCATATTTCTTGCATCATATGCTTCTTTATATAGTGTGCATGGTTAGGGTGAAACCCTAATAACCTATGTCTTTTCCTTTCCAAGGATCCATGGGTTAAAAGCTCCATGGATCATCCATGGACTTCCATATTAGCTTAGCCTATTAACAAATGAGTATTAGCCCACACTATATAAAATATAATAGCCCATAATTTAATCAGTCTTTTTTTTTTAATCTCTAAATTAATTTATAATTAATTTAAGACTAAAACTAATTAAATAACATGACTTCACATTAATATATTATAACTTATAATATATTAATAAATCGTAAGTATACAATTCTCATAAAATTATCCATAAATTGTTTGGATGAAATGCAACCCAAATGTACCATGCCGGGTCGGGTCAAGTATGTACCAAATAAGTTATGGACTTAGACACCTTATCCAACAGACTCCCACTTGGATAAGTCTAATAACTATATTTGCGTATGTTACTTCAGGAACCAACCAACAATCGTAGCTCTCGAAAACTCTGTTGAACTATGAAGCGCCATTTTAGATAAGTGATCATATACTCCTCTGTTCTCATGATATTAGCCGGAAAAATACATGGAACAACGTCGTACTTATTATCCAGCAGTTTGTTTCCTGATTTTCGATTTGTTTGACAAAGAACTTAATCGAACACATCAATTTAGTTCTGACCGGCCGGTACATAGGTCACAACAAAATCATCGAGGGGCCCAGATATCGCTTCTATTTATAGAAGGAACAGATAAACTTCGACTCATATGCTTGTTCTACTACTTGTTGAATTGTACACAAAGGCACGTTTTATAACATCAAGTTACTGATGCGTTTACGTGCAATCAATGCACAACCAACTCATAGGTAACAACTCATATCTCTAGGTTTGAAGATTTATATGATATTACCATCTCACGATCACTCGAGATAAATTCCATGAAGTGATACAAGTGAACGTGGGTTTATTCCAATACTCATAACTTATGAGCACTCATGAATGTTGTAGCAACCATTGCTATGACTAAACCCATTTAGCCATCTACAAACTCGATTCATGACAGTCTTGATTCATACCTACTTCCAACATATGAACGACTGTGGAGTGTTTAAATAACTTAGTCATTCGGAAAGAATAACCTAGCTATTTTGGAAGTCAAAACATACAAAGTGAAACACAATAATAATCGAATCCAATATGGTCTCAGAACCCTTTTGAATATAAATAGAACCACCTTTTATTTATCACCATATTGATTACACATTATTCATTGTATAATGTTTCAAACAATCACCTTAAGACTTGAATAAAAAACAATAGTCATCCCATGCTCTTGGCATGTACACTTTGTTTTTCTAAACAATAATTATGCCATACTCCAAGTATGCACACTATGTTTGTCTATGATCCTTACATTGTGATGTAGATCAATTGAACATGATTCTAATGATACTCATTTCACAATCCCAAATCCTTATTTTAAATGTGATAATCCTTGATTCCTATCATTTACCAAAAAAACGGTTAGATTTTAAACTTTTATGCAATGTTCCTCTTGTAATGATTATTCACAAAGTCACCAGAACCTTGTCACCAGTCATTACAGAGTATCCCAAAGAAGGTCAACTTCTATGGAACAGAAGTCTCATATTCAAAGTACATTGCTTTGAACATCCTTCTTGCATTAAGGTTTTCTAATCTTACATAGATTGAATAACTTCCACTGTGACAATCGTCAATTTTCGGGCAAGTCAAAGTCAACCAAAGTCAACAAGTCAAACCGTTCGACTCATTTTGCATGTGGGTACTATAGTTTACGTTAAGTAAATACTAAACAACTCGCTATTCTAATGAGAGATCATAAATCAAAAAGTGCGAACATCCAGATATCCTTAACCTAAAACTGTGGTACGTGGCGAGCCAAACCGATAAAACAATGTTGCATACTCATCGGGGGTATGTAAGACCCTTAAATAAGGCTTAACAGGGTTTACGAACCTTGCATTGCGAAGTCGGACACTCACAAATGCCACACATGAAACCTCTCTCAATCGTTTTCACTCTATGTCAAATCTCTCCCAAATCTCTCCAAGTATGTGAAATCTCTCTCAAATATCTCTCTGTATGAGAAATCTCACTAAGAATGTCAAATCTCTCCCAAATTTCTCCAAGTATGTGAGACCTCTCTCAAATATCTCTCTGTATGAGAAATCTCTCCAAGAATGTCAAATCTCTCCCAAATCTCTCCAAGTATGTGAAATCTCTCTCAAACATCTCTCTATATGAGAAATCTCTCCAATAATGCCAAATCTCTCCCAAATCCCTCCAAGTATGTGAAACCTCTCTCAAATATCTCTTTGTATGAGAAATCTCTCCAAGAATGTCAAATCTCTCCCAAATCTCTCCAAGTATGAGAAATCTCTCCGAAATCTCTCTCAAAAGTTTCCCGTAACTTTTTAGAATCATTCGGGTCATTCCGACCCTTAACCGGGTCAAAAACGGCTTAAAACGGGGTATAAACGAGAAAAATGGACCTTAGGAACCGAAACCCTTCTCAAGGAGCCGAAGCTCCTTAAGGCCGAGACCCTGGACCGAAAGCACCAAGGACTGAACCGAGTCTTTGCTTGGCCGAACCCGGAGAACCGAATCACTGTAGCGAAGACCGAGTCTCGGTCTCTGTCTCTCTTCCCCTCTCGGTCTCTGTCTCTTCGCGCCTCTCTGTCTCTTCACGCCTCTCGCCTCTCTAATCTCTCTTCCCTTCTTTCGGTCTCTGCTCTCTCTCTTCTCTCCTCTCGGTTTCTCCTCCCCTCTCGGTTTCCGCCCTCTCTCCACTCGGTTTCAGCATCAGAAGACCGAAACTCGGCCAGATTTCGGAATTTTGTCGCTTTTAGCCCATTTTTGATATTTTTAACATTTTAAGCTCGTTTTTCGCGATTTTAAAGCGGGATTTTCTCCAGAAATTATATTTTAACATAATAAACCCTAAATATTCATAATTTAATCATATTTTTATGAAAATCATTATCTAAATAATAAAGATCTAATGGGGGATTTATTTAAGGTGGAGTGTTGACCTTGCCTTAACTTATGTCATAAGCAACCACCCCACACCCACTCTATGACCAGCCACACCTCCCCACCTTACCTAGGTCACTTCAATGTCCCTTACACTCAATTTCTACTCATTCCCACGTTTTTAGAGCTGGAACAAAACACCCTCTCTCCTCATTTCTCTCATTTGCTCTCATTTCACTAAGTATCAAATACCACTTTTCTCTCAAACTTTTTCTCCACCAAATTCGAGATTCAAGGCTGATTTTCAAGTGTTCTCCCACTCTTAGTAAGTATAATTCATCCTCCTTATGATTATTTCACTTCATTCTACTCAAATCATTGATTACTTACACAAACTCCATAACTATGATGTTAGATTCTCGAAAATCTTCAAGGCATCTCCAAGTGTTCTTCAGTTAAACACTTCCATTATTCAACAACCATCTACTGAAATAACTTAAGGTGAGTTCATACCCCTACATTTTCATGTTTTCTCAAGTTTTTAAGGGGGGAATACAAGTTAAAACACCAAGAACATAACTAAATTTTTCTAACAGCCTTCATCAGAAAAGTTCAACTCCATTCACG